GCCACCTCAATTATCCTATGGACAGGACAGTCCCCCATATCGAGGTTAGCTTGTGGAGCCCAGGGTAGCCTCAGAGCCAGACATGAGGCAGGAAGTGGAGTGACCCAGAAGCTTGCTCTTACCCCATCTCCCTGCTGGGTCACACCACTTCACCACAGCAACAGGAAGCAGAGGGCCCTGGCTTCAGCCCACTTCACTAGGCAGGCTCAAGGGAACAAAGTGGAACAGGCTGAGGCCAGGCAAGATGCTGTGCTTCCCACCACTGCAGTGAGGTGGAGCATCCTGGTTGGGACATGTTGGCAAAGTGGAGCAGGCTGCTGGGTCACTCCGCTTCCTGCGGCTCCCACAACAGTAGTAAGTGCAGGGGGGCCCAACCCTCGCTGCCATGCTGCACTAGATTCTCCGATAGTCCCCTAGCTCACATCTCTCAAGGGACGGGGCTTTGGGAAAGGGGTGAAGTGGGGGTGGGAGCAGCATTGGGGCTTGAGGGAAGGGGCAGAGTGGGGGTAGCTGGAGTTGGGTGGGAAGAGGAAGGGTGGGGATGGGGTCTGGAGCAGGAGGGGGTTGCCCTGCTAGGGATGGCCCTGATTGTGGCACAGCTTGGCTGCTGAATTTTTTTTATGGCATGCTGAGGCGGGGGAGGCTCAGAAAGAAAAAGGCTGAGAACCTTTGAGTGAAGGCATGTTGCATGACTTTACACCAAGGTTTTGCTTTTTGAAAGCATCTTACCAAAAGACTTCTGGAACTGATGTCCTAAAAAGCTCACACTTAAGTTTAAGGGGGAAAAAAGTACTCAAAAACCTGTGCTTCAAGCGATGAAAATACGTTACATGATTGTTTTGAAACTAAGTTCCCCAAATTCAGTTCTTTTACTCATCTGACTTTAGGAGTCACACGTTACAGTATATCTACAAAAAGTTAGTGACTGAAGAGTCGAAAAGTTACTATACCTGTCTTCCAACATTCTCCTGAAAGGCAGCCTAAAGAACAGAGAGAACACACACACAAAAGTGAGTCAGTTTACTTTATGATTAAAACCTGAGGATGAATTCAAAACAAACACACAGCAATATAAATGACCCATGGCTTTACTTTTTAAAATTAAGTCAGCTTTGTTGTTATAGTTACTGATGCTTTATGCTCTAATGCTTTTTCAAGTCTGTCTGTTGAATGACAATGTTTAGGAAAGCAATTTGATTAAAACGATCATACCCATAAGAACAACCTTTGATTGCTAAGACATAGCTTCACAGTACAATCAAAAATCTGTACCCTTTGATGGAGGATCAGAGTAGCTCTGTCCAGTTTAGCTGCTTTAGGAAAGTTACAGATATCCATAAAGAATCAAAAGGGCATTTCTACACTGCCCAGGTTACAGCGCTGCTGCTGTAGAGCTGTGAAATAGGCAGTGTTGTTACTCTCTATTGCCGGGCGAGAGCTCTCCCAGTGATAAGAGAGAACAACCGAATGAGAGGTGGCAACTTAAATGCCTGGAGTGTGGCTCTCAGCAATAAAGCACTTTCTATACTGGTGCTTTTCAGTCTTAAAACATTTATCACTCAGAAGTGTGTTCTACACACGAATGGATGACTGAAGTTTTAGTCCTGAAAGTGGCAGTGTAGACATGACCTTAAGATGTAGGGGCCTTGTGCTGAGACTGCGGGCCGGCTGCTCAGTCCCTTTAAGAATGCAGAGTGCCAGCGAGGAGAGGAGGGGTTGTCCAGAGACCCTGCAGGGAACTACAGACTGAGCCAGTTCTTTAGGATTGCAGAGCGGCAAAGGGGGAATTGGAAGGGCTTGTTCTGAGACCCGGAAGTGAGTGCTGTAACTGCCTTTCCTTAATTCCATCAACTATTCGACTAGCAAATTAATCTCTACTTAACATCCCTACTCAGACGATCATGCAGACAACCTGCACATACCTATTGGAATGCACATGAGCAATCAATCAAAGAAGAAACACCTTTCCCCTAAGAAAGTAAAATACGCCTTCACTAGTGAATACACTGATTTCATTAAGTATATTAATTAGGTAAATTGAAAAGAAATGCCCTCAACAAAAGATAACAGAGAGACTAGTAAATTTCATAAGAGACTAAAGATCACTTCTGCCTTCAGTAAAAACATGTATCATTCCCACTGATGTCATGTTTTCTTTTAATGTTTTAGTCCAGTGTTTTTCAACCAGTGCTACGGGTACCCTTAGGGGTACTTGAGAAAAGTCTGGAGGGTACATCAACACAACTGAAATTTGGAAAAAACTGAATTTTTGTTTTACAGCGTTTTTTTTTTTTTTTCTTTTCCTTTTTACACCGAAAAATGTCATCACCTGCCCGGCTACGATTAAGTTGTTTAAACTAATGTGTTACAATGGTAGAAAAAAATGTGGGTCTCAAAACTGTAGGTACTATGGGTACTTTTTAAAAAAAGGGGGTACTTATTTTTTTAAAGGGGTGCTTTATAAAAAAAGGTTGAGGGATATTGTTTTAGTCTAGGTCGGGGTGGGCCACTCCAAGATTTTGGTAAATGAGCCAAGGCCACACTTTTCTAAGGAGGAAGTGAAGGGATTGGGATGCAGGTTCCAGGTGGAAGTATGAGTCCAGGAGGGGATTATGGCATAGGACGGGATGCAGGGTCTGTGAGGGAGCTGGATGCGGGAGGGGATAGGATGCCAAAGGTATGCTCTGGCCCAGAGGTGCTTACCTAAGCAGCTCCTAAGCCAGGTGCACTCTCAGGCAGGCTTCCATACCTGCCTGCAGCCCCCAGCTGGCTATTCTATGTAGATCTCTGTGCTGCGGGGGAGGGTGGGTTCCAGCAAAATCTTTCAGCTCCCACTGGCCAGTTTCTGGCCAGTAGGAACTAAGAGATTTTGCTGAGGGTGGGGATCGCATGTAAAGCTTTCCCCCTCCCTCCGCAGCACAGAGAGCCACAGGCAGCAACTACCCAGTTTGCATGGCACTGCTCCATACTGCAGAGGTGGGCAAACCAGATTAAAATGCTTGGTGGGCCATATCTTGACCACCCTGGGTCTAGGTACTGACATTAAGGGCACGTCTAGACTATGCGTAGCTTCTGAAAGATATGTAAATTTGGCTCGAGTTTGCATATCTTCTTCCATTTTTTTCCCTGGAAAAGTCTTTTCCGATATTTGGCCTGTCTATATGGGGCCAAATATCGGGGAAAAAACCCTCTTTCAAAAGCCTCCCCTTATTCCTCCTAAAAAGTGTACAAGGGGCTTTCAAAAGAGGAGAGTTTTACGATATTTGGCCCTGGGTAGACGGGCGAAATATCAGAAAAGCCTCTTCCAGGGGAAAAAAAAAAAGAAAGAAGATATGCAAATTCAAGCTGAATTTGCATATCTTCTTTCGGAAGTCATGGATAGTCTAGACATGCCCCACATGTTTATTTCATTGTCCAATGAAACAATCAACATTTCAGTCTAATAGCCTTTGAAAAATTGTTTCAAAATATTTTACTTTAGATTATATAAAAATATTACAATTGGTAAAATAGCTAAACTTTTGCTTTTTTTGACACAGAACTCAATAGCTCTTTGAAACTTTCTCCAACTACAAGCTACAATTGGTTAAAACTAGGATACCTAATTTCATTGGTTAGTTACTTAGGCTTAATTTTTATTTGTATTGATTCTTTATTTTTGTATTTTTGTAAAGTTGAACCTGTCTTAGCTTGAACTGTTGGTAAGTAGCCAAAAAAGCCAATGGATACTTTTATGCATAGTACCTTTTGTTCAGTCTTAGGGAAATGTGACTCATTTTAATGAGAAAATACTATCAACCTAATTCAAACAAAACGCTAAAAGAAAGAAATGCATAGTAAACAATGTTAGTCTCCAGAAACTTGTTTCAACTTCATATTCAGAAACCACTTTGCTACTACTAACCATTAATCCATATACCTTATAAAATAAGCTTTATTTTTCACTTCACTCTGCATAAATTGTATCAGCACGTCCAATAAATTGCCCTGTTTCTGGAGTTCTACAAAATTTGGGCTTAAAAATTAAATCTCGGTATAAATCATCTCCATTGGGAATCATCATTCATTTGTTTTTATTTACTATTAAACTGAAGGGATACAAACACTCAGATTCTTTGAGATCCATTTTATTTTCTAACTCAATCAAACCATCCCACTGCTCAACTGCATTCTTATAGCAAGGATCCACACATGTCTATCAGCATGCAGAATAGGGTTTGAGAAAAAAAAAAAACACAAGATGGGTATACATGGATACAAATAAGTAAAATAATCAAGGTCATGGACACGTACATGGTTTCCCATTTGAATTGACATTAGTAACATACAAATCAAAAAGCCATCTTTTATCATTTTGAGAATGTAGATATATTTGGATATCTTTTAAACCCACTAATTTAGGTGCTTCTTAAATCCATGGTAATTATGGTTCTAGCCTTAGTTTATTAATTTTTTTGTAATTAGTTTATTTTTGTATACGCTTAAAATGCAAGAGCTTCAAGAATTTTTTTTATAACTAGAGCATTTTCCCTGGCTGACCCTATTCTACAGATTTGTTTTTAAAGTAGTTTCTGCTCTCTATGAGAAGCAATTATTTGATACAATGAGGAGAACAATTGGGGTATGATTTAACAGACATACCGTATGGAACATTACCCTGCAGCTATGATTACAACACAATCTGAACTGGGAAGGAACAGTATGATTAAATTATCCAAGCCTTTGATTCCTTCAAATAGCATAATCTTCCATCCAAACTAGCCATACCCACCTACAAAAGACACCTCTAAGACAAGGCAGAAGATAAATACCACACAATAAAAATGCTTTAAGACTTTATATCAAGGCTACTCAACATGTGGCCACATGCGGCCCGTTTGCTTGTGGCCCACAGTGTGCTTGGGTTTATGTGGGGCTCAACACGTAGCCCATAGGTGGGAGCCAAAACAAAAAAGTAGTCAATATAATGGTCTTCTGTTGATGTGTGTTTTAGTAGTAAAATTCCTGAACGAGGGCTGTTAAATTCTAAGGAATAAACTTTCGGAGAATATTCTCAAGAACGTTCTTGAGAATATTCTCCAATGCGAGAATTTTCTCTTAAATACTTGTTAAATAGTTTTTAAAAGAATTTTACTAGTTATAATAGTGTCTTTCTTTAATAAAACTTCCAGAATCATGTAAGTTTCCAATTGTTAAAATGAAAATTCCAGAAAGTAAAGAAAAAAAAGACAGACGTTTAAATTACTAAAATTATTACAAATCTTCTGTTGCAGGATATAAATATTTTCAACTTTCTGGACTGAATACAAGTCTAATCAGAATCTGAACTTTCCAAATCTGACCCATATATTTCTATCTCTTCTTCTTCCTCATACATATCTTCTTCTTTGACTTCTTCTTTCTCTTCTGCATCATCAACTTCTTCTTCCTCATTTCTCTGGTTCTGTTTCCTTTTTTCTCTTGGGGATTTCAACAGAGCATCATTTGGGTTTTTAAGAAGCTTTATATTATGGGCTATGAATGTCAGCTTGCCTGCCTTTTCTTAGAATCACAGAACCATAGAGCTGGAAGAGACCTCAGAAGGTTATCAAGTTCAGCCCCCTGCTCTAGGCAGGGGCAATCCCAACTAAATAAACCCAGCCAGGACTATGTCAACCTGAGACTTAAACAGCTCTAGGGATGGAGACTCCACTACGTCTCTTGATAACCCATTCCAGTGCTTCACCACTCTCCTAGTGAAATACTTTTTCCTAATATCCAACCTGGACCTCTCTTACCACAAATTGAGACCATTGCTCCTTGTTCTGCAATCTGTCACTACTGAGAACAGCCTCTCTCCATCCTCTTTGGAACCTCCCTTCAGGAAGTTGAAGGCTGCTCTCAAATCCCCCCCTCACGCTTCGTTTCTGAAGACTAAACAGACCCAACTCCCTCGGCCTCTCCTCGTAGGTCATATGCTCCAGTCCCCTAATCATTTTGG